TTTTTTGTAATTCTTTTTTAATAGTCTTCCTTTATTATTAATGTTACTATTAATTATTTTTAAAAAACGTTTTCGTAATTTCTCTTTCAGTATTATCTAGTCTTGCGCGAGTGTCTTTAACGAGGTCTTTTTTGAAGGAGAACATCGAACCGAACAACGTATATATTCCGCTCTTTAAATAGCGGGTGGGGGTGGGGATGAGGGAGGGATATTAGTATGAAAAAAAAAAAAGATTAAATAATCAAACGATGCAAATGTGTTGTGTTGCTTAACTTCATCGAGAAATTAATTTAAATTATATTATTATTATTATTATTATTTTTTTTTATTTTTTTTAATTAAAAAAGACAAAAAGAAAGGAGGAGAAGGGGTTAACGTTAAATTTTGCCATTCGCTCGCCTTCTCGCGAAGGAGAGACACCGAGGCGGCAAAAAAAGAAACAGGGGGACAGAGAGGGAAGATAAATAGATAGAAAGAGAGAGAGAGAGAGAGAGAGAGAGAGGAGGGTAAAAGAAGGAAAGAAAGAAAAATAGCAATCGTATGCTCGCGAGCAAACGTCGTTTGCTTCAATGTTGCGCGGAATGTGACGAGAGAAATCATATGCTGGAGGAACGTAAAACGAAAAGGAACTCGAAAAGAGTGAGAAATAAAGAATAGAAAGAGAAAGAGAGAGAGAGAAAGAGAAAGAGAAAGGATTATTATATCGGTAAGATGTGAACGAAACAAAAAAATAAAATAACTTTCCGTCTCTCCCTTTTTCTTTCTACTATAATTCTTTGTTAATTATTTAACAAACAAATAATTACATTTCTTTCCGCTTGTCCTACGTCGATCGTGTAATTCATTTCTGTAAAAATTCTAAAGGGAGAAAAGAAAGTATGTCGTCAGTTAAAATATAACGATAAGAATTTGTGTGTATGTGTATGTATATGCGTGTGTGTGTTGTGTGTGTATGAGAAAGAGAGAAAGAGATAGAAAAAAAAAAAGTAAAATTTTTAATTCTTCGTTAGCGTCTCTGTTTGTCCGATGGTATGCGTGTAATATACGTGAGGTACGTGTATGTCTCCTCGTCATCGAAAGAAATCAAGTTTTTATTAATGTTAAGCCTATACACTTTGTATATGTTTGTAAATATATACATATATATATAGATATATGTATACATATATTATGCATATGTATACATACATATATAATTATATATATGTATACATATAGATATATATATATATAATATCAATCTACTTATATACATGCGTTCACCATTTTAAGTGTAACTTCATCAATCAATTCATTTCACTATCATAGATATAATATATTAAATAGTACATACAAATAATAGACAAATAATGAGCAACAGAACAAGTATTTCTTTTTTGAGAGAGGGAGATAGAGAGAGAGAGAAGAAAGATTAGATGAGGGGGAAAAAAAAGGAGGACGAGGAAGGGATTGAAAAATAGGGAGGGGAATAAATCATACATCCTCCCTGGGATAGCAAAACTCTACTAACATCCGGAAGGTTGTGCCAAACGAAAATATTCGGCGAGAGTGAGAAAGTATTCAGGGCATCCTCGTGTGTCGTAGAATATGTTGCATTGGATGCACAGCATCCGTTGTAAATTACAGAACTCCACACATCTCTCTCTCTCTCTATCTCTCCCTCTTTCTGTCTCCCAGTTCCTTCCTTCTCTTTGAAGGGAACACGTCGTTCCACTGTTTGCTTCGTCCGTTCGTGACCGATTTGTGACGCGGTACATTAATCGAGAAACGCGAGGGGAAGCTTAAGGGTGGAGAGAGAGAGAGAGAGGGAGGGCAAAACAGGGCGAGGAGGTGGAGGAGGAGGAGGACGAAGAAGAAGGGCCCGAGAGAGCAGCGAGATGAGCCGAAAATAAGAAGAGAGCAAAGTGGCCGGTCGGTGCAGTGATTCACGTGACCGGAAGTACCCCTTCCTCCCTCTTAATCATTCTCTCTCTTTTCAACATCATCATCCTCCTTCTCCTACTTGGTGCCGCGTAGCCAAGAGAGAGAGAGAGTATTGTGTGTGTGTGAATGAGTGAGTATAGTCGTACAACACACCCTTCGCGTTTCTCCTCCCTCGCGTTTATTTATCCTTTCCTCTTTCTATACTCAACGAACGCACACGGGGGAGCAACAGAAGATGATCGTCGCCAAGATGTCAGAGTTCGCTGCTCTTCGGTGTCTCCTTCTTCTCCACATCTCCCATGTCTTTTCCTCCCCCTCCTTCTTACAGAGACATCCAACGGATATGTTAGAGAGCCTCTCTCTCTTTCTATATTTTACAAAAATGCCATCCGTGAAGAGTCAAGGTCACGAATTAAAAAAGAATACTACGAAGGTGTCCATTGGGGAGTAGTCGTCCATTAAACAGTTGGATCTCTCGAAGTTTGGTATATACACAGAGAGTAAGAAAGATAGATATATAGAAAGAAAGAAAGAAAGAGATACAGTAGCCAGTTTACACGAGCGAAGGCAACGTGCGAGGTGTGTTTTTGCGACTGGGCGTACCACCACCAGTGTTCTATATTAAACTCGACGAACGCGGGTCGCTTGATTGCGAAACGGACGCCTGATATTTTCGTTGCATCGTACGAGTAACTGCTTCCGGCCGTAGCTGCTTTTCTCTCTCTTTCTCTTTCCCTCTTCCGAGAGAGAAAGAGAGAGAGAGAGCACATAACACATATATGTACATACTCATACGCTTATAGAGGGATAGTGAAGCGTTCGTGGCTCGCATACTCTTCTTCCTCTCTCTCTCTCTCTCTCGCGTTCTCTCTTTCTCTGTATGCTAGTCTTTACTCACGACGCGGCAGACAACGCTCCGTGGCACATCGTCTTCGTCGTCGTTGTCGACGATGAGGAGGACGATGGCGGCCAGGCCGGAAACACCTACGCACACTAGCATATCGAAGGGCGGACGACTCCTGCTACTCTCTTACTGCTGCTGATGTTGTTGCTGCTGCTGGTGCTGCTGATTCTAGTGACGCTGATGATGGCGATCGTGCTGCCGACGAGGATGGCGGAGAGCGAGGGGTAACCTTCGAGCTTCACCCAGGAACAAGCGACTACTCCAACCTCCTCCTCCTCCTCCCCTCTTTTATTTCTTTTTCTTCCCTTTTTGCGCTGGAGTTCACCCAAGTTTTTACACGCACTCCTTATTCTTTTGCTCTCCGAGAATGGCCGTCACGAGTTTACTCCAGGATCGCACGATTGACAACGACGACTACGACACGGCCGATCTTTGAATCTTATCGATCAAACATTTGATCAAGATTGTTCAAAGTATATCGATCAATATTTCATTCCTTTTTATTAATATATATCTGGCTTTGATAGTTTCCTATCTATGACCTTGATACTTCGTCTAGTTTATTCTTATCTATCCATCCATCCAATCCTTAAGTAAGATCTCTTCGTGATAAGTACGTACATATACATACATATATACGTATGTATATATATATATATACATACATACAATTGCATTCGCAAGAGCGCGTGGGGAATTCTGACGAGGAATGCGAGGTGCATGGAAGAGGAGACGTGACCTTTCCAAGGTCAGATATTGCCGGGGAAGAAGAAGAAGAAGAACGACTAGAAGAAAGAGGACTTGTGATTTCGTTTTGGTAACTGAAAATTGGCGTACGTTTCTCTCTCTCTCTTTCTCTCTCTCCCTCTCTCTCTCTCTCCTTTTCTCTGTTTCTTGGCTAGTCAAGTAAGAGCGTGCCAAAAGAAAAAGAAAGAGAGAGAGACATAATGGAGCATAGAACTAAATGAAAACTTGATAAGAAAGTTAATGTAGTAGAGCATGTGATAGAGAAACACGGAACTATGAATTTCGATTTAATTTGCTCGAGTATTTTAACAGAGAAAAAAGAAAAAAAATTTAATTTTCATGATCAAGTTCTTTCAAATAATCAAAACTATTTCAATGATTACTTTTTCGTAAGATCGATTTGCAAGTTGGAAATAAAAAAAAAAGTAAACGTTTGAATCATGTCAGCTGGTAGCTATCAATCAAGATGTTATTTCATTCACCTGCCATTGATTATGATAGAGAGAAAGAGAGAGAGAGAGATAGAGAGAGGTTTGAATTCTCAATGTCTCTTTCATTCTTCTTAATTCATGAACGTATGGTAGAAAAAGACTGCATTATATATGGGCCAACTTAATGCTCATGACATCAACAACAGCCTAACATCGTTATTACGCGGAGACTCGCGTTCGGATTACATAGTATCCTTGGCCTCCTTTAAAAATTAACGTTATTATAATATGTCACCTTACTCTTCTATAGATTATTTTTATAGAACTTATACTCACACAATTTTTATTTATATTAATTATATATATTTATATTTATTTATTTATTTTTATTTGCATTTTTCATAAATCTTTTTTTGATTTACTTAAATTTGAATAAATATGTAACATAGTGTGTGGATCATAATTTGTATAGGCCCCTCGCCATTTCTATGTGAATATATAATTTATTAATTATTTTATTTATATTTTTCTTAAATCTTGTGTTTCATTTTTTTTTTTTTTTTAAATAATGCCATGCGTTTATCCTGCTTTTCTTTTAAAGATTTACTTTTTAAATTAATTCATATGAAAAGTTGGATCACTATACATATGTGTATATATATATATAAGAAGAAATCTTTGTTTTCATTGTACGTGCTCATTCGCTCTAGTCACACCCGCTTAACATCGACTATGCAAGTCGAAGGTGTGGCTTTATGTAAAGCATATGGCTGGGAATTGCCATTTCTACGGGTGCATTATGGAAACGTATGTTGTCATCGATACCTACGACGCATCAAACAAATACACGGCTATAGAAAATTCTCATGTAAAGATTAAAATGAATTAAGCAAAGATATCAAGGAACTCTTCTGTAAAATAATAAAAAAAAATAATAATAAAGATAAATACTAAATACGTCTCTCGGGGAAATTTTACGTAAACGATAAAAATATTTGAGCGATCGAATATTAGCAAAATTTAAATTATATTTTACATAATATTACAACGCCCATATACATACTTCCCTATTAATTACTGTTCTAATGAAATTGATCAAAGTAAACGGACGTTCGGTTCAATGTCTACAAATGCAAGGATTTTATTATCGGTACCGTTCGTTTTTATGAATACACGTTCATAGTATCGTCGATTCGTTACACAATCTGTACCATTGTATTTCATTTGAAATCTCATTCAACATTGGAGAGATAGTTTTAGATGTTATTATACGTTGTCTTATCAAACTATTTGTATCCAGAGTTAAGACGGTCATCTAAAAATCAAATATGACTATTAATGTATGGATTCATTATGGTCTAACTATATATTTCTATTGTATCTTACCAGAAATAGATAACTTTAATATCTCTCCTTTGATAATGACTTTCTCTTGATAAACTAATGGATACGAATAGAACATTAAGATATTCCAGTAATAATTTACACTACAAATATATTTTTTATCATTTTTGCGTTAGATAACTTTATTTGCGAATTAAACAAACAAAAATATTATTAAACATTTGGTTGTATTATTTCGTTTGTTTTACATTGCATATCTCACATAGCAATTACAAACTTGTTTTTTTTTTTTTATTTTTCTCCTGCACTATACTGCAATCCGATTTTCAAGCAAATTATTCATCATATAAAATTAATATCCTATATACTTTGCGAAAAGTATTTTTTATAATTTTTTATTCTTGGTTTTTCTTTTTAATGCAAAGCGCGTGCAAGTTTTTAGCTCATTTACTTAAAGTTATAATTTGTGATCGAATGTATTCCCTCTTTCTTTCTTTTTTTTTCTTTCTTTTCGGACAATCTTTATAACAAATATTAAGTAATAGTAGTATCCACTGTGTTCTCAACGGAAGTTGACATTCCATCTTTTATTTCAGTTTCTTCTCTCGATGAAACAATCAATTTATGATAATAACTTTCGATTATTGGCAGGTGAGGTGCAATGTCGCTTGGTTCTATGAACAATACTGGAGATACCTATTCAAAGTATATTGTTTGTTATAATTAATTACGTTTTTCTGATTAAAAATAATAAAAATAATCATTGTAAATATAATTGTTTAACTATAATGACATTGTACTTACATGAATATCTTCAACTTTGGCTTCCCGAGTAGTGAACTCTCTTAGCAGATAATTTTGTCCAAATTCGTGGTAGATACGAGTATCTTTTATTCTTAACATAACATTGTCAATTCTCAAAAAATAACGCAGTAGAATGAAGAAGCTAGTAGGCATTACACGCTAATAAAATGAGTAAAAAATAAAGACGTATAAATATCAACAATGAAAATAAGCTATTGTCATATTTTAATTAATATAACTTACAATTTTAACTGAACATACAGCAATACCATTATCATGAAGCTCGTCTTCAAAAAGTGTCAAATCATGATAAAACCTAATTTTCTCTCTTCTCTTCAATTTGTCTAAGTCAATTCTTTCGTTAGTTTCTTCCAAATTAAATCCAAATATTGTACCCGTATAATTGGTTGTAAAAGTCCAATCGAACGGCTTAACTTTCTCCTCCAAAAACTCACTGCTTTCCAATCTGTTATAAATGTGACATACAAAAAATTGAATATAAATTTAACTATATAATTTTGAAGAATATATTTTAACCCTTTGACTGCAAAGAGCATCGATAGACATTTAGCAGAAGTTGCCCTCTTAGTGGGTACGCTGCCTATAGGCAATTGATGTAACATTCTTCTTTGTAGCAAATGGAACACTATTGTCATGTTTTATTTCTAAGCACCCTGCAATCAAAGGGTTAAATAAGAATATTATTTACCTTGATTCTTTCCATGCTTCGGCACATGCAAGTTGTACATTGATTTTGCCATTGGAAACATATTTTAACGCATCAAGCGCATTAAACTGCAAGATAGCTCCATTTCGGTGTTTTAGAGTTAATATGTTATTTGGAAATACCATATCGGGCATATGTGGCAAGTCTAAAGTTTTACTATATCTGTGAAACAAAATTTGATTAAATATATTAACATATTTGCTACCAATGTAACACATTTATGATGGTAATTAACATGAAAAATAAGTTCTAAGCTATCATCGGTACCTCTTCTCTGTGGTACATTAAAAGTATGTTAATATGAAGTAAAACCGTAATATATAATATTATAATAATAATAAAAATAATAATAAATAAGAAAATATCATACATGCAAAATTGGCATGCTGTGCCATCTTGGTCACCGCAACCATTTTCGCTCTTTGAACACTTGGAGTGAAGTATATGAGATTGAGTATATTTTATTTGCCATGGTGGAAAGATATGCTCCTTTTCATTAACAGGTAGCCGCAGTATATCTACTCCGCCATGAACCTTCACTGTTGTCATGATCAAAACTTCTTGTTAACAAATAATATCGTCCTCCTACATGTTTTAATATTATTATCTTATTTATTTACCTAATAAATACAACTGAAACAAAGTAAAGATATCATTTTTTTGAATCCACATTTCATTACCTACATTTTATACCATTTAACTGATTTTGATATTGCCTTTTAAAAGATGAAACTTAACCTTTAAAGCATTCATATGATTGACGAAATATCGAGAACTTTCACAAGTAACAGTTTTGTTAATAATCGAATAATTTTCTTATTTCAAATATCATATAACAATACACGTTATCTTCGTTCTTTGAAATTTCCTTTTTTTAAAAAACAAATAAAGTATCAATAATAACAAAATTCTAGCACAACGTTTCATATGATGAAAACTAACAAGTCTTATTTCAAGTTCATCAAAAAGTTCATAATAAATTGATCTTACCGTTTATTATAACTAGATGAACTACTTTGTTGGTTATACTGAGTGATTACTATGATAATTTTGCACAATAATTTTATACAAGGTAAAACTAAACAATTCTGTATGAACAGAAACTTGTATGTCTAGACAAAATTTAACCCTCTATTTCGTATAAGAAAAAAGATAAGGAAGTTTCCTTCGAATATAAATTCCGAAATTTTTAAATATGAAATAAAAAATATAAGAAAATTATGTGGCAATCTAAACATTAAAAAGAAAATTATTAATTGAATTAATATATTTTAATATTATAATCATATATCATTATATTAAATTTTTTATCGTCAGTCTATAATTACGATAGAGTACATATTTAAAACTTAGTTCGAACATTCCGTCGACAGATTGCGCTCGAGGAATGGCGCGTAAATTGAATCAATTGTTAAAATTGGAGAGATGGAGTTCCGTTCGATCTTATATTTGGGAGAGATGAGTTTGAAGTAATCGAAGATCATTGTGAAATCTGCATCGGTCCGTGAAGATTGTTTCTTCCCTTTATACACCTTCGGTTATTAAAAATATTAAATTGATTTATTTTTATAATGACAAAGAGTAAAAAAACACATACGAGCGTCGAACTCGGTCAATATAATAGAGTTAGCAAAGATATTAACGGGCCAGAATCTTTGAATGATATTCAAAATTCTGACGAAATCAAACCATTTTTACGAGAAGAAACGATAAGAAAATTAAAATCGGTTGCTGGACACGTTGGACTTTTAATTACTTTAATGCTTTATACAGCAATCGGTGGTATGGTAAGTTGGAACAAAATCATTTATTCAATTATTAAGCATCGACATAATTGTACTGATGGAATTTTATATTAACAAAAATATTTAATCATTTTATTTTAATAGTATTTATTAATACTTAACGAATAAGTTTTTATTTTCGTTTGATTTACGTAATAAATGAAAATGCAAAGGGTCGTTACGTTTACATTGTTTATATCAACGAGAAATAAGTTTGTTTTTATAACAAACGTTTCGCCTTCGCGCTATCCAATTCAAGTTCTATTTTTAGTAATTGAAGAGAGCAACCTGATGAAAATGGTATTTCAACTTGAACGTTTCATGTCTGAATCTTTCAAATATAAGAATTTTTACGAATAACTTTATCGCGTTTATTACTTGATAATATTTCCGAAAAAAATAAAACAATTATTATACATTACATTTTAAAAATTATTTTATGATTATATCCAATCGACACTACATGTTAATTTTCTATTCTTTTCTTATGGTTTATTTGTATTATTCTTTTTTTATGCAATCTACTTAATGATTAATTTATTATATGAAAAAAAAATCGAAATCATATTATCGCATAGTTAGAAACAAATTGGATAAATAAAATCTAATTGAATGCTAATTCAATACTACTTGAAAACACAAATGAATGCTAGTCTTTGTTTCTAAACATTATAAAAGTACATATTTACGTACATACACATACATTAACGTTGAGTGGACACTCATGTTCAAGCGGAAGCTACTAACCGGATCTTCTTTCAGAAAACTTATACCTTTTATTGTCAAGTGCATTTTAAAATGGAAAAGGGAATCATATTTCTTCTCCTTTTTCTTACTCGTTGCACGCAATTCTAACTCTTCTTAGAATAATTTAAAAACAAAATGTTATTATTATTTATTTTCATATTTGGCGTGCGCATTAAATAAAAATTATATTTTCATTATATTTCTTCTTTTTTTTTTATATACCAACAAATATACAAATTATTTCATATTATTTCCTAAATCGAATAAAAATATTTCGAACAATTACGTAAACAAAAATTTGTCATCATTATATTCTTTTTCTTTATAATTTTGAAAAGAAATAATTTCAGGTTTTTCGACAAATGGAGCTCCCTGCAGAATTAGCGAGATTAGAAAGATTGCGTATAAAATTACGCACGCAAAGATACAGATTTCTCGATATGATTTCTAACAATACCGATGTGTCCAACTTGAGAACTCTGGTAAATATATTAAATTTAGTTGCTAATTATCAAATTACAATGTTATATGTATATTTTAATAAGAATCCAAATTTTCTAGGTAAGTGTAAAGTTACGGGAATACGAGGAAGCGATTCAAGAAACTGCCCAAGCTGGTATGTTGGTCAGTTTCATTACCGAAACTATTGAACAAAGTGATCAAGGATTAACAGAGTTACCACCAATTTCTACCGATCGTTGGAGCATTCTTCAAGCTGTATTTTTTGCGAGCACGGTTCTCACGACTATCGGTAAATTGTTTCTTTATTTTTAGCGATGTAAAAAAAAATAAAAAAAATATTTTTTAATGTTTTTAATTCTTTTTTTTTGTTTTTAGGCTATGGAAACGTGGTACCGTCCACGAATTACGGAAGAATCTTTTGCATTCTTTTCGCCATCATAGGAATTCCTCTAACTTTGACTGTAATTGCCGATTGGGGTAAACTTTTTGCTGAAGTTGTGGTCCAATTAACTGTTATAGCAAAATCGAAATTACACTTTTTAACAACTGCACCTTGCATACAAATGAATCCCACTGGAAGAAAATCAGTTGGTAATAAAAAATGTTTAAAGTAAAAAAAATCGTTGTTCATCGGGAATCGAGTGAAAATATTATTTTGAGTTTGCGTTCAGGTGCGGTCGCAGCAGTTGCATTACTTTTCGTATATTTGGCATGTGGTGCTGGTATGTTCATGCTATGGGAAGACGATTGGGGCTTTTTCGAAGGATTTTATTTCTGTTTTGTCACGATGACTACCATAGGATTTGGTGATCTTGTTCCTAGTAAGTTATTCCACACCAAAATATTTTTTTCTGTGATAAATTAAAAATATATTCATGAAATATTTTTTTTAAATCCTGAATATAGTGAATGTTGACAATTATAAAATTAATTTAACAGAACTTTCGCGTCTTCATCGTAGTAGAAATTTATTTTTTAAAAACGAAGTAATATTGATTGACTTTTGAATGTCTTCGCGTAGTTTGTGTATATGTAATTATAGCTACGGTTCGTATCGTCGATCCCATGCAGAGAAGCCCAAGTATACACTATTGTGTACCTTGTACATCCTGGTGGGCTTAGCGTTGACTAGTACAATCATAGAACTGGTTAGAAGACAATACGCTCAATCTTGGAGGAGATTACAAGCTTTGAGCGGACCTCTAGCAGAAACCCTTCGTAGATTGGGTGAACACGCTGGTGGTGATATGTCATCGCTTCATTCTGATCTGAGGTATTTGTACAAATATTTTTTTATATTGAAGTATTAGATTTTACAATAAAATTTTCATACTTAATTTTCTTCTGGAGATAAAATAGTCTTCGATTTTTAGGAAAGTATTGACGGTTATTTCAATGCCGAAATTGAAGAGATCACAATCGGGTCGACCCGATTCCAAAAAACAAGAATGGGAAGAAGCTGTTGAAGCTGTGTTAAGAAACATTGCAGCATCCGCGACAACACCGCCTCCGAAAAAACCGATCGTTCAAATCGTCGTTTACGAATCGAGCGTTTAAATTATCTATAATTTTGACATAATTATTGTGAGATGAATTCGACGTAAAATCAATCAATTTCTTTTTGATCGATGGTTTAACATATATTTTATTTTATATTAATTTTTCTCCAGTTTCTATTTATATAATATATTTATGGATACAAAACAGAAGAAAATTAATAAAAAATAAAATATTTCCGCGCTTTAGATGGTCATAATTTATACGGTTTGTCACACAATAATCTTTGATCGACGAATTCTACGTTAAATAGATATACGCCCTCATCTGACATATTGGCGTTGTTTTCTCGCAGCAGTCGCAAAAAACAGCATCTCCAACAGAAATCTAGCAGAGCTTTGCCAACCGGTATCATTCGCGTTTTATTTGCCCATGATTCATTTGTTCTCTTGCTTATACATGCTTTTTCATTCGTTCTTGTGCACACGCGCAGTTTCATGTTTTACGGATAAATAAAATACGCCACGTTTGTTTCAACTTCTCATCTCTTTATTTCAACTATTTGACCTTTCTGTTTGGCATGCTTTAACAATAAATTATTAAAAAATAAAATACAGATTTAGATTTATCTAATAAAATACATATACAAAGTAGAATTAAGAATCAAATTTGAATTTCCCGCGCTACAATAGTTTTCTATCATCATGTGATGTCACGACTGAATCGTAGGTTCTGTTACGATTCTTATATATATAATATATATTAAATATTAATTATTAAATAATAAAATATGCATAATATATATAAATACACAGTTATAAGATAAAAATTGCAACAATCAAATTCAAATTTGCCGCGTTACGATAGTTTCTATTTCCGCGTGACGTCACGTAGGGTAGAACCACAAAGCATCAAATAAAGAAGAGTAGGGATGAGAGTCGTGGCTTCGATCGACGTCGCGAGAGTTTCGGTTTTTGATATAAACCAGGATACTTCTTCAGGGTCGTTTATTCTAAATTTAGATACAGTAAAGGAAAAGAAAGGAGAACATAGAAACGGTGAAAAAGAAAGAGAAAGACCAAAAAAAAAAACAAAGATAGAAGAGAACAATTTCGGCAGAACGAATCTTTCTAAAAAGTCCTTTTTTCGTGAAAGCCGCAAGGACTTTCGCATAATAGTGGAAATAAAAAAGGTCTATTATTAAGACAGATAATGAAGAGTATGGATAACTCTGAAAGTTCATTCGAGATCAGAGAGACACCTTCGAGTATCGTTCGCATCGCATATCGTGTGCGTATTATTACTTGACAATGAATAGTTCAACTCTACGATGATAATCAGTGTCCACATTTCTCATTTGCACGAACACATTTACTTATGTAGGATCTTCTTTTGTTTTTTATCCTTTTTATTATTTTCCTTTCCTTATAAACTGCTTTAAAAATGTACCAAGTTTGACGTATTTTATAAATCTTACAGGATGTCCTGTAACTGACAGTACTAGTGAGCGTAGGATGGTTTTATATGAAAAATGTATTATTAAATTTGTTCATATAAGTCTTTGATTTTAAGATAAAAAGTTTAAAAATTTGTCGAGTTACGGGTCACCCTGTATTTATGCGAGTAGCATAGAATTTTTTAAGTGTTTGCATTCGGTAGCTTTCTTTTGCGTATAAGTATTATTGTTAATCTTGTTCCTATGAGACACATCTGATCGAACCTAATAAGAATTTTGTTTTAAGTAAAATTTTCATTTAGTTTTTGTATCAATAGAAATTTGTATTTACGTTTCGCTTTTCAAAGATCCAGATAAACATTTTCTTATTCTAATCAGATCTTATTACCTAGTAGAGTTAATTATACGTTGGTTAGGATTGATTTTATTCTTATATGTATAGTAGAAAAATAATAAAAAGACCGACCAATGACGTTACAAGTTATAATGGAAATATATACGTTTGAACTTTTATCTCTGTTTATTCTTATATTTATAGCAACTAAGTATTATGACTGGCATGAATGATCTCGCTACTCCGACGCTCTCTAATAACGATAATAAGTTAATTAAAAAAGAAGAAGAAAGTTGTATAATCTGTACTCGACGTCTCTTTCGATTACCGATATTCTTGTCGGTAAGCTCGTCGTTTTGTCAAGCATACACGACAATTAAAGAATCCCATCAATCCGTTACAACCATTTTTGAAAATGTTGAAAACGGATTGTGCAAGAGTGCCGAATATGTTAGACCATTGACCAATCAGATCCACGAAACGTTAGAAACACCAATTAAAACGATTGACAATTTCGTTTGCGTTGGTTTGGATTTTATGGAGGAAAAAGTACCTTCCATAAAATCTCCACCTTATGAAATTTATCAAAATATCAGCAATAATATTAGGTAATTCGGATTTTTGTAATTATACCAAATCGCAAATTTATTTTATGTTTATTTAACGATATTTGATACATTTAAATATATATAACGATAACAATAATAATAATAATAATAATATTAATATATAAATTATTAATAAATATAATCTAATATATAAAAAATATTTAGAGTAATAACAATAACAATAATATTTTTAAATAATATTTTTATGATATTATTTACATTAACTGATTAAAATTATACGAATTTCTATTGTAGATTGGCTGCCTCATCAATAATGAACATATTTTTTATTACATTTTCCAACATTGTGGGATACGCTGACCGAATAGAAGCATCCATGGATAAAAATAAAGAAAAAAAGGATGATAAGAATAATAACATTATCGATAATGTCAAGTGATTTTTAAATTTTTTCGACTATCTTTATTGCAGGCACTTGTAAAAAAGAAACAGAGGAAAAAGAAAAACACACATTTAATATAACATACATGTAAAGTACGTTAATTCATTCATTCAATAAGATCATGCATGTATATGTATAGGTGACCTTACTATCTCATATACAAATGAATTTAATTCAATTTTGTAGTGTTGACTTTATCATATATTTATAAATCGTTATTCGTACAAAAAAAAAATTCTCTTATACTATGTTATAGTATTACATATCCTTAATAAGTTATTTATATTCATTAAAAGGAAAGAAAAGAAAACTAAATCGAAAACAAAGGTGTATAATATTCGACGACATCGTTGATTTTAATGAAATTATTACACGTGTGATATGTTTCGAAATAGATGTGTAAATCTCTATTTCTTTTTTTTCTATTTTTCTTTTGCTTTCTCTTTACTATTCAGTAGCACTCGACGGAAATAAATTATTTTACTAAGTTTGTTAAAATTAAATATCAAAATAATTGATATTTAAAATGTTTATATAGAATAACAAATTATTTGCAATAAAAGAAAATTTTAAATAAAAATTAATGACATATGTAAATAGAGTATTATTTTTTTTAATTGAAATATAATTAATCAATGATGTTACACATATTGACTAATAAAAATTGAAATTGAATGATCGAAATATTGAATGGTTGTAATAATTCGATATATTAAAAAAGCAGTGTTGATTATTTTACCCACGAAGTCTATATACAAGAAGGACGATCGCAGTGTTATAAATGTGTCTACGATATACACAACGAGATAATGATTTCTATTGCCACTAGAGAGCGCATCGATTCGCTTGATCTGATTTTTCAAATATGTTAAAACCTATCTTTAACTTTGGAAAAAAATAGATAAATAAGTCGACGAAGTAAATAAAAAATTGTAAAGTAAAGAAAATGGAATAATTGTTTATGATATCATAAAGTCAAGAAAAAATAAGAATAGGATGAAAAAAATGTCGATAAATCATCCAATATATCTGTAAAAAAATTGTGAAATGGAATCAATTTATCTATAACATAATTAGTATAAAAATGAATAATACTGCATGTAAAATGTAATTGTCAGTTACCTTAAACAGTAAACCACAAAATCAACAATATAAAATAACCTGTTGAGCTGTAAGAAAATTAATCCTTAATTAAATTAAAGCTTCGTGATTAAAACAAAAACATCAAAGAAAAAACTATTTGTTTCATTTGTTTATTTATAAAATCATACGTACTTAAATTTGAACTTCTGAACACCATCGCCGCCCTTGTGGAGAATTATCGTACTCGGTATTTAGTTATTTTCAACAACACAAATTCAACGAAAACGCGTATCTCGATCGTCCTCCTTGTATAGAGCTTCGTTGTCTTACTATAACGGTTCTTGATATTACCGCCAAATCGAAGTTTTACCATAAAGTGAAGGTACGATAAATTTTGTATCGTGCGTGTATGTACACAAATTAATATAGACCGTTTGCTTACATTCAAGAAAATATATTATTTTTTACTTTTTTGTTTCTACTAATTCATGCAAAACTTACATAAACATGTCAACTACGCATTGTTTCCTGTGTCTCACCGATGAAGGCGTCTTTCTTAATATTACACCTATTAACTATAATTCTTTGCGTGGCGATATCGAGACATTTTTATCATTAAAGGTACATTCATTTATTTCGTCTATTAAATAATTATTGTATTTTATTAATTATTTGTTCACTTTTATTTCATTTTTTTGTGTTTATATTCAAATAGAAAGCTTTTACTAACTTTTGGGTTAGAATGTATACAATTTAAAACTACGTAAATAACTACGTAAATAACTACGTCTCAAATTGTAACGTTTCCAAATAAAAATTGTATATTTGATAAATTAATTGAATATAACCTAAGATTCATTATTTTCATTAGATTACATAAGTCGGAATCATTTTTATTCAATTTTTTTTTATTTTATTGCTAATTTTGTGTTTTATTTATATCTAATCTGATGCAATATATATACTAATGTGTAAAATTAGCTATGTTTGTTTTTTTTTTCTTTAATACTTTGTAGTGATATTATTACATTGTATATATTTTATTTATTTCATTCAGGTCGAAAAAAGTAGCAACGTTGACAAGGTTTGCTTCAAATGTGCATTTGAGTTAAAACAATGCAGCGAGTTTCTCAACAAATATAAGAAATCCTCTAATTCTAATAAGAGTTACAAAAAAAATGTTTGTGCATTTTGTTTAGAAACAGAAAATCAAGGATACATTTTCCGTTTAAGCCGTAGTCCCCGATCATTAAATTATCCTAGTGATAATTTAATATCCAATTTCCAGAAACATTTTCAAGATGACGTATGACTTTCTTTGATTTGTAATAAAATTTCAAACTTTAATGTAGCTAAGATTTTTATATATATTTGTTTGTAGATTTTTAAAAGGAAAACTGGTACTGTATTGATGTGCCTGACGTGCAGGTATAGTTTGGATGTATTGTTTGACTTGAAATCTTTATACGTAGAACTTTCCGAAGCAAGAAGGACATTTGATAAAAGTTCAGACTATTCGACAATACCTAAGGTAACATAATTCTCTGTTATCTTACAATATTATTTTCCATCAATTATTTTATATATGCAAACTTATTCACATATTTACCTTCGTTGTAGGTTAATACAATTATGGTTAAACGAAAAACAACTGTCCCTGCATTTGTGAAAACTAAATCAGATATTTTAAGTGGTATTGACTCTGAGTGTAATAAAAAGGAAGAAAATTACGAAGTCGAGATGAACAAAGATGAGTCTCAACAACTAAAGTTGCGCACTTGTAATAAGTGTAAATCTAATATAAAAGTTGATGAAGATATGTATAGATTTTATAAAACTGGATTAGTAGTATGTAAAACTTGTTGGATCCGTGTAGATCCAAATAAATCAAATATACGAAAAAGAAAAACTCAATCAGATACTAAGTTATGCGCAGTATTCTTAAAAGATGTATTGATCGATACAGTAATTAAAAAGGACCAGAAGGGATATAAAGTCGAAAAGGATATGTATGGTAACAATGTATATATAATAACAGATAGTGAAAGCGAGGCTGAAGTAGAAAAAGCACATAAAACAGATTCAGACTCTCAAGAAAAAATTAAAAAATTTAATGCTAGATCAAAAAGAGGTCAAAAACGTTCTCAATTAAATCTACTAAATGATAGCAGCGAAAGTGAAACTAACAATATTAAAAAAATGAAAACTGATACCGAAAAAGAAACTACAGCTGAAATAACTAAAGTACGAGATAAAAGATATAATACGAGAACATTTAAAATGAGTAATCACTCTGATACTGACATTTTATCTACTATGAAAACACAAATTGCTAAAACAAAAAGAACTAAGAAAGAAAATGAGAAAGAAGTATATTCTTTGTCGGACAGTAGCATTCGAAAATCTCAAAGAAATAAACGAAAACGATATGAGAATACGTCTCAAGAAAATACTACAAGTAGTGACGATTTATCATTGCCAGAAAATGATATAAAAGAAAAGAAATCAATTGAACAATCAGTATTTGAACAATCTACATCTCATACAAGTAGTAATATAACCGAAAAGATAAAGAAACTAAAATTAGATTCAACCTCTACATCTATCAGTGAACATGCCTCATTACTTACAAAAAAGAATGTTAAGTCAAAAAAATCATTTCAGGGAACATCATCTGAGAATACAGATTTGGATGAAAAAATGAATTCAAAGGAGAAGAGAAATTCAAGTGAAAAGAAAGATTCAGGCGAAAAGAAAGATTCAGGCGAAAAGAAAGATTCAGGCGAAAAGAAAGATTCAGGCGAAAAGGAAGATTCAGGCGAAAAGGAAGATTCAGGCGGAAAGAAAGATTCAGGCGGAAAGAAAGATTCAAGCGGAAATAAAACATACGCTTGTCACGAATGTGGGATAACGTTTAAAAATAAACTTACAGTTATTACACATGAATTAACGCATTTTAAAACATTGGAATTGAAATTGAATAAGTTAACGGTTCAAAATAAAATCAAGGAGATTAAAGAGGAAATTGATGAATTAAACGATGAGCTAAGTGAACAACAAAATGAAGAAATTACTCTATCTGTTAACGATGATGAAGAACTTGAGACTGCTGATGCATTAGATCAATTTAATGTAACAGAAGATACAGCAGGAAAGGCAGATAAGGAAATGAATCTCTCTTTAATTGAAAATAAAGTGAAAGATTCATCGGAAGTAGAAGGCACAGGAAAAAAGGATCTAGAAAAATCAAAATTGACAGAAACAATTAAAAAGTCTATTTGTAAAGAATCTAACTTCGAGGCTAATAAAGAAAAAGAGAGATCGTCTAAATGTGTAGTAGAAAATGAAGTACTGTTTACTTCTATGAAAAATAACAATACTTCAAATGACAGTAACGATAAACCAACCAAAAAAGATGCACCTGGTAATGACGCAATCGAAAATGCCGAAAAATTTGAAAAAAAGAAAAAGGAAATTAATAAAGAAACAAAAGATAAAGATGAGAAGGAAGTAAATGAAAATGTAAAAAGTTCTGAAAGCAACATTGATCAATCTGAAAATTATATGAAAGAAACGAAAAAAGAAAAAACAGTAGAAGTTGAAGAAAAGCAAGAAGAAGACAAAAAACAAGAAGAAGACAAAGAACAAGAAGAAGATAAAAAACAGAAAGAAGACCAAGAACAAGAAGAAGATAAAAAACAAGAAGAAGACCAAGAACAAGAAGAAGATAAAAA